TCAATTAGGGAGTTAGCAAAGACAAAAGCCATTTATTTACCAGACATTTTGGCATTTGTATTGTGCTTTGTTTGAAGATCAAATTACCTGCAAATCTTTTAGCAGGATTTCCATTTTGGAGAACTTACACCAGTTAGTGAAATGTGGCACAGGCACCGCGATGCAAACCCAGCCTCTTTTCATAACCTTCTGCACTGCCTATTTTTAACGGTGTGAATGCAGCCACAGAGTGCTTGTCTTCCTGCAGCGCTCTGAAAAGTAAGGGTGGGGGGGTTTCTGATAGCATATCAGATCTGCGCAGAGCACCAGGGTTCAAACCCCAGCTGAGTGACTGTCTGTCATTCACCCTATCAAGTCTGCCTGCTTCTCACGCAGCTTCAGCCCTTAACCTCGTTTCCTTTAAATCTGCTCTTTGCCCTCTTCTGTTCCCTGTTCTTCAGGTTGTCATCTTAAATCTTTTTTTCATTAGTTTTGCTTCTGTTCCTCTGTTTCTGGGCTTTTCGAGTCTGCTCACATTCATGCCTCTCTTCAACCAAGGGTGAATTTAATTTCTTCATCTCTTCCTTTTAGCTGTTTCTCTCGCACCTTCCCTGCTTTGCTTCAACTCACGCAGCCCATCTGTCTTTCTTTTTTTCCTTACCTTTTGGCAGACTTGGATATTTCTATTTTAAACCTCGCTGAAGCAAGACCATGTCTTGTTGGCTCTGAAATATCAGGTCATAATGATAGAGTACTGACTCACGCTGTGTAAACACTGATTGAACATTGTGAAATTATTGTAAGACATGGCATTGAAAACGGCGTCCAGAGGAAGTTATCATTTACACCAATAATCTGATTTAGAAAATCACATCGAGTGCCTGCGACTACTGTATCATTGCACTAACCTTTAATTTGAGTACATTTAGTCAGTGTGGAAAATACTATATCATAAATCCATTTTCTTTTAATAAAATGACAGTTTCAACACTTATTACACTTTCTGAATAGGTCCTTATCTTGAAGTCTCTTGCCAGGAGGCCAAACGAGGACCGGTATTGATTCCTACACAGCATACAAAGAAGAGGATGTTGGGAGAAATGAAAACACCTTTAAAAGCTCACTATTAAGACAACTGTGTGCCATCTTAGGGTCAAAGAATTTCCATAGAGACCTTCTGATTTTACGAAAACGAAGCCAGAAAAAATGCACATTTTCTGTCCCAATGTAAGTGGGGCCTTTGGTAAATACTCCTGAGACCTCACCTGAATTCATATCATTATTGTCCCCAAAGGAGGTGTGGTCTAAAGCACCACTTTTTGATAAAGATTTTTTCTAAGGCTCTATTGTGTTTCAGTATGAAACAACGAATGAAGATGTTGAAAAACTAACTTATACCTAGTTTTAACAATGGGAAAGGATCTGTTATGTAATGGGCCAGCTGCTCTTTATAAAATCCAAGGAACCATGTTTTATTTCATCCCATCAAAAACCTAAAATATAAATATGTTTGCTTCTGCTAATAAAAAAGAGAACTGTTGTATGTGAATTTTGAGCCTAACAATATAAAACTTAAAGGGGCCCTTGATTTTACGTTATTACATCATGTTCTACTCACCCATATGACTTTTGTGTCAATTGGAGCTGTTCTGAAGAGATTCCCCTTCCATAGGAAGACATTACTTGGATATAGCCTAATGGAACATTAGAACAGCTCCAAATGACATAAAACTCTTATGGGTGAGTAGAACTCTATGTAATAACGTAAAATCAAGGGCCCAATGTAAAAAAAAAAAAAAAAAAAACGTTCCCATTTACATGTAAATAGCCAGAATCAGCACAGTGACTTGCCATGTATTTTTTTCCCATTAGCTAAATGCATTTGATCTAGAGGCTTAATTCTGCCTGGAATAAGTAATGAATTAATATTAAATTATTTTTTTGAGTCTGAACCATGATGGCAATAAATGTGAGCAGAACGGGATGTGCATTGATATAAAAACACAGGAGGGAATGGAAAGAACACAATGTTTACAAAAAATTGCCAGTACCTCTAGTGCGCCACCTAGCTGCTTGCCTAAATCTCAGAGTTTTTATTTAATTGTGCCTGATGGCACCTTATGTCCCACATAAGCAGTGATTGAGTCACCCAGGCTGCTCATGAAACATGTTGTGACAGGCTGTTCATAGGCTTGGGTCTTATTTACCTCAGCTGCCTGTTTCCCCCCCTGCCTTGTGCCGCTTGAGTCATACCCTCCAGCCAGGAGGAACACCTCCTCGGCCTGCGGCTACAGATTAAAGGAGGTGGTGTGGAGGTCCATGAAGAGCAGATGGCACGCAGGTAGTGTTGGGGTGACTAAACTCAGGCAGCACACTGAGAAGAGTAGGCATTCAGCACCTAAAAAATGTTTGATTGTAACATGACTGATTGCAACATAGTATTAATATTAGATGTATTAACTGTCTCATACGCATCTTATGATACATGATTTCTAAATGAGGTAATAAGTTTAAGTAGTAATAAAAATACATTACCTAAAAACTCAAAACATTAAATTGAAAATTCGGTTTAAATTATAGATTTATTGGAATTTAAGAGCCTTGCAGCTTGGATGGGAAGACGTTAGAAAAGTACCCAATGATTACATTTCCATTACATTTTTCCACTGTATCATCGGCCAAATTAAAGCACTGTTGTCTTCCCATATTGATTGATTCTGCGGTGTCAGATGCTGTTTGAGGCTCAGGAAAATTAGGTCAGATTTGATCCATTTGCACTTTTCATCTTCAGGGCTGGAGAGAGGAGTTAAAGGAATTTGATCAAGTCCAATCACTTAGACATTCCCTGTTTGTCATCACTGATATGTAAATGTTTGGCCATCCTCCGACAAAAACCTCAGTGTGTTTAAGCTGAAAACAAACTAATATCCAAAGTGTTTATAGATGCTATTGCATTAAATCTGTCTTCTAGAAATATAAATAATGAAAGTAGAATAATTGTAATTGAATAAGCTCAGACACTAGTACTGTAAGATTTGTTTTGTTTTTATAAGTTAATGCAGGTGCAGTTTTTATAATAAAATTTTATCCAAATAAAATATAATAATAGTTGTACATGAGATTATTTTTATTTATGTAGCACCAAGTCACAACATATGTCATCTCAAGGCAATTTACAGAGACAATTCAACCAGATCAATCAGTCAGATTGGTTCAAAGATTTCTAAGGAAAACATCAAGTCATTGACTCCACTGCAATTCCTCACAACAAGTGACAGTGGAGAGAAAAAAAAATCCCTTTTAACAGGAAGAAACCTCTATCAGAACCAAAACTCTGTGTGAGCTGCCATCTGCAGTTACTTTAATTTTTTACCAACTTCATAACTGCAGTTTTTTTATGGCTTCACAACTAATGTTTTTGGGAGTGAAATTGAGCAATCTGATTTAGGACATTTTGTACTGATTTTATTTTTAAGGACGTGTTTTTTATTATCGTCATCACAAAATACCTTAATCTTGTAGCTTTGTGAATGTAGAAGATTTAAATAGAGATTATATAAGTATTTCCTAATAATGTGAAGCTTCTGATATAGTATGATTTGTATTTAACAAAAAGAATCTTTGCTTTACATATTACTGTAGGTTATCCATAAAAAAATTACTTTGACCAACTTTGTTCAAACTTTTATATACTGTACATTTTGTAATTTGTAAGTCAGTTTTATCACAGCTTAAACATTCCAATGCATTTAGATTTCTTTGTTGCATTCAAAGAAGGCTAAGATATTGTTTATGGAATAAAGATCCTTTAAAAAAAAAGCTGATTTGCACAATAACTGGCAATAACCCAATAGGTTGCTAAAAAAAAAAGATTGGCTATGAGAGGAATGATCTGGTTTTGATGCCATAATTATTCAACAGTATAAAATTATAGTAATCTCAATTTCTGCATGTGTTGAGATTTAATTTACAAAAAAGATCACCTTAAGATATTTAAAATATACTTTATGAAAAGTGTGGGTCTATAATAAAAGAAAAAAGTCAAATTCAGACCAAATTATTCAACAAGCCTTCCTTCATTAGCCATCTCATCATCATTTTAAACATCTCATAAAGTATCATTAGTCTTAATTGTTTTCTGTTTTCTTCACCAAAGCTTTCATTAACTGTTGAATTTAGTTGTCTGCAACACCTGCAACCCCCCTCCACACACACACCTACATATACATATACACAAACACCTCCTCGGTGCAGCTCTGCCAGCCTCCTGTTGGAGACTAATCAGTTTCACAGAAACTGTCATTAAGGTGGAAAGGAGGGTCTGACACCACAGATGGCAGCAGCCTTTTGCAAATGAGCTCTGATTATGAAAGGTGGCAGGTTTCACTCTTCTCAATCATCTCTGCCTTTCACGCCATTAGGCAAACACAGAGCGGGGGTCACTACAGCCTAACACATTTTCATGGTAGATTTAGTTCATCTTGGTACCCTTGAGTTTATAGTGCACTGCTGCACAAATGCCCCCCTTGACTTCATTTTTTTAAAGAGTATGACAACCTCATTTGAGTCCATATTGGCAAAGTTGCCACACTCTGTGAACTATAGAACGAACCTGTTATTTTAGGCTCACTCGTCATAACCGGGTGTTCTCACTCCTGATCTTTGCATTAGAAATAAGTCTGTGAAAATGACATCAGGTTTCTGCTGCTGAGTTTTCATCAATATTTAAAGCTCTAACTCATCTTAGAGCTTGTTTCTCTCTGACTGAGGAGCTATTGGTCTCTACCAGTCTTAGAAAGGAAGGGTGTATTGATCTGTTAACAGGTCAAGGAGAATAGGCCAGGAGCTCGGTTTAAATACCTATCCCAAGCTGTCTCACAGTTTTTGTAAACACAACCTCTTATCTATTTGAGCCCCTATTGGAGTTATACATAAGCCTTGGAAGGTTTTTCTTTTATTGGATTTAATCTCAGTCATGAACAAAAATCTAACGTAAGTCTGTTGTTTTTTTTATTTTAAAGGTGTGAGAAGACCTCCAGAGCTGGACAGAACCAATCACAGCGTCCATTACACCCTTCTGATAGCATGCGTTTTGGTGGCTTTTGTCCTCGGGGCTTTTGTCTCTGGGTTCCTGGTCTCATGCTACTGTAACCACACAAGTCACAAGACCAAAAAGTTGTCAAAAGATCCAGAGGCCCCGATCCCACATGCTCTGTCACTCCGAAGTCTGGCAAAGCTTAATGGTCTCCTGGATAGCCAGAGTAAAGAAGACAAGATGGAGGTGTCATCTCCAAAGATCTACAATTCTTTATTTACCAATGGTAAGGAGCATCACCCAGTAAGGAGATTCGGCCATCCTGGAATGACAATGGGAGACCTTGTCCATCCTCACCACGCTCACCTTCACCCTTCCTCAGAGCTATCTGGTTTACCTACACCAGATTCAACTCCTGAACTGCCCATTAAGAGCATGAAAGCCTTTAAGAACCAATGGGAAAAAAACCAGAACTGCAACAATGCCAAGGAACCAAAGTCTCACAACATAAGCTCAAGACCCAGTTCTGCCCTGCTTCCCCAGCAGGTCTTCTCTTACTCCCATGGCCTGCCCAATGGACATCCAGCAATTGGTCATATGCACCCTGAGGAACGCAAAATCCACAATGTTGAGCGCGTTTTAGCTCAGCCTTACCCGAGCTATCCTCAGAAGGTAATGGAGGTTACATCACTGGATGAACTCCTAAAACACATCCATGATCCAAACGGCAGCAAGACCTCTCAGTTAATGAGTCCTTCAAGTCTATTGGCCAGCGGAGGTGGAGGACAGCTCGTCTTTGCCAACCGAATTCAACCTCATATTCCTGAAACGGAATCAGCCCCCTATTACAGCTCGTCCACCCTACCCCGGGACAGTCTTACCCGTCGAATGGATGTTCCTCCAGACATCCCCTCACACCATCAGTCTACCTTGGAGAGGAGGCACTCCTCTCAGCGGCACTCACTAATTTCTGCGGCTACCAAGATGTCCGGAGCAGGTGCAGTAGGCGGAGGAGGAATGATTCCCCGCCAGCACAGTTTCAGCCAACGAGGTGGTGGACCTCAACAGCCGCCACCGCTATTGGCTCGAATGAACTCTACAGGTAGCGCCTGTGAGGTTCACTATCCTCTCATCCCAAATGGGTACCTGGCACGTCAGCATAGCTATACTGGTGAACAGCATGACATCCAGCACCGAGGTGCGATCGTCCGCCGGTCATCCTCTCTCAAACCGGATGTCCCTCCGAAACCGCTATTCATACCTGCCACTTCCCCTGTCAATGAACAAGGCAAGTACAACTACTGAGAAGGGACCTTCCAAGACTACAGTACAGGACCCTGTTCTCTATATGCCATCTGTGAGAAACTTTCCTTTAAAGGAAATGCTCTGGGTTTGAGGTGACAGACCCTGACCAAACAACACAATAAATTGTGTGGTAGCAAGTCTCACTGTGGACAAAAGCCTCAACCAAACTTATTTCTGCTTTTTCTTTTGTTTTGTCCAACAAATATCTTTGTACCATATTGGTATTGTTCAGCTTCTTGCTTATTATAGAACTGCCAACCCAGGTGACATGATGCCACCTTGTTAAATTAGGCTGCCAATGTCCTCAATGTGGATTTACAATGCAATTCAGCGTTTGGACAAGTTGATGTTGGACGAACCTTGAAACATCGCTCATCCTCAAGACTTAAAAGCCAGACGCTCCTGCAGTGCTTCAGTTCATGCTTTTGCTTAACATTTTTTGATGTAGTGTTTGTATCCTCTCCCCTTCCACCCTATTCAAGAATGTGTTTATATTATGCATGTGTGTGTATATACAGTATATGTGTGTTTATATCCACACTGTATATGTATACATATACATATGCAGTACTGGTAACCTGTGGTGAAAAGTTAAGCAATTTCCCCTAAGGTATGTTTGTCTTTGCCTTACTTGTACACTCTCATGTTTGGGCATACCAAACCCTCTCACCTAGAAATAGGAGAAACCAAACCATGCAGATACCAAATTTGACAGTTGGCTGAAGATACTTTGTTCATGTTGATACAAAGAAAAGAAATCTAAAAAAAAAAAAATAGCTTCCATTGACTTCAAAACCCATCTTTTCTTTATTTAGCTGATGTCATGTATAAAGTGACAAACTTGGGTCCATTAACGTTCTTAAGAATGTTTTTTTTAAGATTGGTGCTTCAACAGAAAAAAAAAATCGAACCTCTAAAATCAATATATGAATAAGGCTATATACTTATGGACCCAGAGGACGTAAAAAAACATGACACAGCATATAAGAATGAACAGCAACATAGAATGGACTCCAGTTATTCTAGGTATTAACTTTGTGGCTATTGGTTGTAAATAAAGAAATAATTACTAGCCAAATTTTAACTGTATGTGTAAATGTGTGCCTTATTTAATGATGGTGTGTTAACTAGGGTTGGGGGAGGGTTAACGCAAGGGGCTCAACTGGCTACTATGCTACAGTATATTATTGGTGTTTGATTTTCTACAGTTGTCACCATTGTTGATTTGAAGAGTTTCATTCCAGAATGAAAGATCCACAATAAATTCTTGTCACAATTGGACATTTAAAAGTATTAATAATATTTAAGAAATTGTGTCTTATGTTTTGTGTATCTGGAGAACTATTTTTCTTTATCAGTACATATTTTGAAAAAATTACCCTTTTTATTTTTAAGATATGTAAAGAAAACAGTATTTTTGCAGACTAATTCAGAGTTTTGGAATGAAGCGGCTTCATTTATTTTTCTGATTTTCCTCCTAAGTATTGGTAGCCTGGAGGTGTTTTTTGAGGATTGTTGGACAAAGATAACGCACAGCCTGAGACCTTTCACATCCTTGTTTGAGTGGCTATGTACCGGGTCATTGTTTTTCTCTTACAAGTGCCATTGCTTTATGTTTTGAAGAGTTTTTATGTAATTTATGTTTTAGTTGTTAACAAAAAAGATAAAGTTTATACACCCTAATACAGTGCAAAATATTATCTTTGGCAGATTTAGGTTTAAATGATGTTTTAATTTAGCCAATTGGGTTATAATACTGTTTAGGAATGAACCTTTTAGAATCTTGGCTTGACACTCGCAAATCTGTGGAAGGGGCTAAAGATTGTGGTGATGACATGGAGGCCTTCCAGCCTGAAAGACTCTAAGCTCATCCGCAAAGATAATTTGCCAAAACGGCGAAGTACTTATGCAAAGCGGCTCCACAATTACAAGAACAGTTTGACTCCTTTGACAAGGAATTCTCCTTTCAATTTTGAGAACAGTATAAAAACATTTTAATATTCCTTTTGCCTATTAAAATGTAATAAATTGCATTGCAGCTATTGGGGTTTTATGTTTTATTATGTTATTTTATTTCCTTATGGAAGCAAAGATCTTTGTCGAATGAATGTCATTTTGAAGCTGAATCTGCCAAGGATAACTAAGGCTACTGTTGCAGACGGTACTTTCATTTGATTTTATTCAGCAAAGTTTAGGTCTTTTGTCATATACTGTTCAATTTACCATTTCTGTGTAACAGCTGTTCCAAATTTCTATTGGTTATTTCTAGTTGCTATAAACAATTAGCTAGTTTCTTTTTTGATCAAAATAAGAAAATAGAGGATAATGCCAGGCTTCTTTTTGTTTTACCAAGTTCATCTTTAGAAATTTTCAGAACAGTCATACATTAGTGCACACTGTATGCTTCCCACAGATACCTTTTTTTTCTTTGGGGTAAACCCCTGGGAAAGGTTTGGGATACATGCTGCCAAAAGTCTCTGGCTTTGAGGATTTAAATCAGAAAAGGTGGTGCCATCTCTGCCTTGGACATATCATCCCTTCAAAGCCGGCCATTGGTTGACTTTTCAGAGAAGTCCCTACTCTCGATGTTGACTGGAACCATAATCAGTTCTGTAAAAACATCAATGTGCCATTTACCGCCTCAAAGATAAATGTTTGTTAACAAAGGGTCATTTCGTAAATGAAATAAACTCTAAAGGGCAGAGCTTACCATTTGTACAAAATATTTCATATAGTAGAAAAGATTTCATTTGCATAGCAATGTATTAAAAGTCCTTTCAGAGAACATATGATAGGAACATAACAGGAATTGTGGCAGCTACACTGTTGAGGTGGAGCTGCTTGTTTTCTTTGATTTGGTTTTACCTGCTGGTAATACGTTGTTTGGGGATGCCTCACCTCCTAAAGCTCTGTCAGTATTTGATTTGTGTAAATACATTATCTCTGGGCGGGATCTCATTTCAGTATTATGTTTTTCTCTGTTTGATTTCCAGGCTATGCCTCTTGACTTATTATAAATTTGGTCTCACAGAATACCATTATATGTCTCTTATAATAGGAATAAATAAAATCTAAAATATGATTAATCCCTCTGGTGTGAATGTGTCATAAGAATGTTTGCAAACCCCTGTTTGATTGTGCTTCAGGAAAATGAAAGTTTCTTCAAATTGATGCAATGGGGCCCTGTAAATTGAAGGTTGGTAGTGACTGCCTATTTGAAGATTGATCTTTGTTAATTTGATAAAGTTAGTCCCATGACAGCATCTAGTTAATTTAATTTCCTCTAGATGTAGGACAGCCATTCATGGGCAGTAATAACTCAGATGCCTGAAACCTAAAACACTTGGAATCATGCTTATCCATGCAAAGTTAAGTTTGTCATTTTGAAATGTAATTGTTTCTGCAGCTTCACACTTAACTATCACAAAAACTTTCTTGCAAAAGTGGATACTTCTTCAAGGGGTGCTGTAATACACCTACAAAAAAAAAAAAAGATTCAATTCACCTATAACAGGTCAGAAAGCATGCAACTAAAAATACATATTAGGATGTTAAAATTAAAGCACAGGATGTGCAGTATTTTACACTTTATTGGGTTACAATTAGTCACTGCAAATTCTTTTAGAGATTCTATACAGCAGCTTTATTTTCAGCTTTGGTAAAACTATAAGTTGCACATTCTTTTTTCACTATTCTTACATTTGGATATAGAGACTGAAGTCATTGAACTACACAGACAGGAACTAGCAGCTTTGTTTAAGCTGCACAGGGTCTGTACAGGTGTTTCTTCCTTTCCCTACCTTCTGTGCAACTACAGCTTCCAGCTATTAGTATGAGATAGACACATTATAGTGTAATTAGCTGGCACATCATCAGCACAGTGCAGCACCATACAGGCGATAACGCTGCCTGTTAGAACTACTTGCAACATTTGGCTGTTTAAACATCAGATAATAATGAATAAATCCATTGGTGTTTAAAGTCAAATAGGTATTTTAATGATGTTTGTTTTTAGGCAAGCTTTTTTTTTTTTATATACTTTCATTTATACAGGTGCTCTTACTGGATCCAAGATCCTATCTAAAAGACCTTTTTATTGAACAAAAAGAAAGATTGCATTAAAAAACTCACAAAAAAACTCTATTACCATCAGCTTTATCCAGATTTTTTGGGGGGTTATTTATAGTAATTGGTAGGAAATTTAAAGAAAAGACAGATTAAGGTTAAGCAATAACCAGATTATGTTCTGGTGAAATGTTTTATATTCAGCTAGAGATGTTGAAATCTGAACTTTACAATATGACTCTTGCAATATGTACATTTTACATATTGCCTGATAACCTACGTGTTTGACCTCACAGTTCTAAACTAATAAGAAAACTTACTTAACTCGGGCTTTTGTAAATCTATGTTTTCTATGTCTTTTTACAGGAAAATTATGCTCTTAACCATTTCTACAGTAAAACCCCAGTTCACATGCTTACTCAGGCTGACTAACAAGGTTCCTGCAGGCAAAAAGAGTCATGGTGTGATGGCACCCCTGTAGGGAGTAAACAACCAAGAGATTCAGTGTTGTGTTGAAATATGTGATCTTTGTAGTGTTATTTAGCTATGAGGGCTTCATATGGAGGAATGTGATGTATTATTTAGAAAGTAAATGATTAATCAAGTTTACTTGGATATCAAGTGGTCTGTGTCAACAAAAGCTTATATTAGTCAAAATAGTTTTGATTTGAATAGAAAACCAATAAAAGAAATCTCGGGAGGGGGGGGTTACAGATTTCTTCAGGTTTTGTTTGGGTTTTTTGTGCCACACTTTAATATTTTGGATCATGAAATAAATCAGAAATGTAGAGAAAGATTAGGTGAGTTAATATCTCAAGTGAAGGAGTTCAAGTATCTCAGGGTCTTGTTCTCAAGTGAGCAAAAGGTCAATAGACGATCCGATGCAGCCATTGCATTAATGTAGATGCTGCACAGGTACATTAAGGTTACAAGCCATTTCATCAATTACTGCAAGTCTAGCAGGTCATGAAGCAATCAAGCAAGCACAGGACGTTATATTCCTGTGTGACCATAGAGATGGTGTGATCTTGGAGGCAGGGTTATGTTTCCATCAGATCCAGCAAGACAGTGACCTTCTAACAAGTTTAGCTTTCGTCGCCTCACTATAAATAATTTTCTCAGAGGTGTTGGGAATAAAGAATTTTTGAGGGGAGAATATGAAGACCTTTAAAGTTATTTGGTAAGTAGTGTTTTTCACCTTGAATGCATGAAAGCTGCTTTTCCCCAGTTTCTTTTTCTTATTTTTTACATATTGAGGCATATATGCCTTACATATGTTTATGGGTTGTTCTTTAGCCTTCTGGATGAGTTAAAAATATGCTTTTGGATGGTTTTGGCTTGTCAAGCACTCCTGGAAAGGTAAATTATGTCCATGTTTTGTTTTCATAACTGGATATGTGTTCTTACTGTAGTTTTGAGAAACTTAAAAATCGATTCAACAATTTTCACACTGACAGATGACATTTTATATATATATATATATATATATATATATATATATATATATATATATATATATGATAAATGTATGTGCTTGAGAGCATGATATAAGATATCTGGGCCAACTCGATGCTGCCAGACAAGTTTTATTTGTTTGATTTCTGCCAGTATTTGACTGTTATTTTCTATTTAATTACTCTTAGGAAGGTGAGTACATTTTATAATTGGCATAATATGGTTTGCATTGAATATTTTTACTTTGACTTGATTTGCATTAATTGGAAATGATTGCCTGTAGTTTGTTCTAAAATGCTCTAAAAACATTAAAGTGTAACAAAATGGCCTAGATGAAATATCTACGATAGAGCTAATACTTATAACAGCATAGTGCATGATGTATTTTAAATGTTTTTATACCACAGATTAAGTTTGATAGATTTGATAAATTGTCCTTACATTTTGGTTGCTTAATATTTGCATGTGTGAAAGGAAAGCAGGTTTTGTATTTGTGAAGACGAGCAGTCCGGCGGATCTTGAATAAACCAGCTTCTTTTTGTAAGTAAAACAATGTGTTTCAGTAAAATAATTGACCTTTTACCTGAAACACTCCTCGTAATGAGGCGATATTGATCAGTTTATCCAATTTTACTCCCTGGAGTCTATTAGATAATCTTTTCTCTGTTTGTGAGGAGGGTGCTTGGCTGTGTATCCTGGTGGAAAAGGTTGCTGGGAGATAACTTGTATTGGTTAAAGACAGAAGCCAGCCTGGACGATGGATGGTCATTATCCATTGTGTATTTGCTGGGTTCCAACAGACCTCCTGTTGAGCTCCCATAGCATCTGAGAGATTGGCCTTTTTTTTTTTTAATCTGCTTTTGTATCTCTAGCCATGGAGCTGCTGATTATGGGGAAATAGGCGAGTAGAAATGTGACTCCACTGATATAAATTTGTGCAACAGCCTTTCAGTATGACAACTTAATGAAATTACATTTATATGCCGCTTATAATATATTATTACATATTATATATTATAATATATTACATCAAACTTATATAGAGTTTATATAGTACACTCAAAGACTCTCTACAAAACCCTTGCTCTACCTTGGCCACCCTGTGGCTCTACTTTTCTTATGCCTCATCCAAAATACTTAGGTTATCCTGAGCTATTTCTCAATTTTGCTGCTGTATGCTTAGACTTCTATAGGACATAAGGACCCCTTTTCATCATCCTATCTCTATTCTCCCATTCTGCAATATTTATTAGTTCATCTTCTAACATTATCATCTCTCTGCTTTTTCTCTTCGTAGTAGCTTCATCTGGTCTGTTCCTGTTTGACTGTGAAACCATCCTGGAGAGAAATATGAGCTGTGCTGCAGCTATCGCCTTTGTTAAAATAAACAAATGAATTAAATCAATTGAACTTTATTGATCTCACAATGGAGAAATTAACTCTCTGCATTTAACACATCCCCTTTGAGTAGCAGTGGGCTGCCACTGTGCAGTGCTCGGGGAGCAATCGTGGATTAAGGCTCTTGTTTAGAGACACAGGGTGGCAGTCTGTGGGATTAGATTGCGAACTCACACCCTAAGGATTCAAAACCCTATGCCCTAACCACTCATCCCATAGATGGGTTGGTGCTGGCCTTAGTGTTTACTGCATAGAGGTTTGAATCCTGAGGTTCTGAGTTCAAGCCCCAAAGGTGCTACTCAGGGTCTTTGAGCCAGACCACTAACCCCAAACTGCTCCTCTGGCACTGCGCATTAGAAAAAAAAACTATTGAAAAGGGTGTAAGAGGAAGTGGGATGGGATTTCAGAATTCAGACAGATATGATGAGACCATATTACTGGATGAAAGGACTTTTAGGTGAGGAGAAAAAGATTGTGATGGCTGTGGTATTTGACAGGGAGCCACTGAAGCTGTTGGTGGACAGATGTGATATGTAAAAGAATTATATAATTGATCTTCAAGTGGAATCAGAACATGATTGTGAGAGAAAATAGGATCTTTTAAAAAATAATCTTGCCTTTGCTAGCTGAATCAAAGGTCTAGTATCTTTTGCTACAAACATCATCTAGATAACTATTAAACTAGTATGCACAGCAGTTAGAAGCATTAAGTACAATGCAAAATCAAATAAAATGCTAATTGAAAATGTCATGTGGCTTTAGATAACGCTTTTAAGGCTACATCCACATGAAATCGAATAAGGTATCCGTACAGAAAAATCTGAAGTGGAAAGATGATACAGTCTGAAACCGACAAGGCTGTAATAGGTGTTGTAGTAATGCCCAAATGCCATCACACAGATAAAGAAGAAGGAAGAAGGGGGAGAGAAGTAGGATGTTAATAATGAGGGCAGAAGACAGGAAAAAAATGGGATTTGTGTCGAATACAGCAGAGGAGCAACAAGTAGTACGTGTAAAATCCACATTAAATTCAATAGCTTCTAAAATTAAATTCTTAAACAGAAACACAACACTAAAGTCTGCCAATGTTATTTGTTTCGATGCATGCATTGGGTCACATGCGCAAACACGCCAGTGTGTAGCCGAATATGCATATAGGAGAAT